TTCTTCTTTAAATCAGAGAAACGTGCTTCAAAGTGTTTGCAACAGGAATTATTCGCAGTTGATGCATGTGCGGGGCTCCTAAATCCAATAATGATCAGAATATTACCCTAAAAGTAAGGTTTCACGTTATTTCCATCGTGTATCAGCGTAATTTTATAAACACTTCGAAAATTTTGTGTCGCTGTCTGGCTTCGCGTGGTGAAATTGCTTGATGTTTTAAGGTTTCGTCTACTCCGGAGGAAAATAATTACAAAATCACAGAACGGGAACACTTTAAATTTTTTTCGTCGACGCTTTTCAAGAGACAGCGCAGTTTCGTTCAAGTTCACTCGACCACCACGGACCAACCTTTTCCAAATAGTTGTTCACATTTCGAAAAGTATATTTGAACGGGAAAAAATTCGTGCGGCACAATTCCTTCGTTATTAAAATAGAGAGCGTGTAGAAAGCAAGAGAGTCAATAAAACATTTTTATTACATCGTTTTTCCGCCCCTTCCTTCACATCCTATCCTCGATACGATATGAATCGATCGATCACATGGAACAAAATTATTTTTCAATTTTTCGCTTTTTGAAAATACTTCTCGTTGACAAATTCAAATTCCACGAGTAGATCGATTTACGTCATATTCTCAATAGTAGTTTATTACTTGTTAGGTTATATCAAAATTTCTTATCGGACAATATACAATGATATAAAAATAAATATTGGAACAGACATAAATTATAATCGTGAAATGTACAATATTATTCGTGATATTAAAAAAAAATAAAAAATAAAAAAGTAAAAAAGAAAAAAAAAAAGAAAAAATGAGCAAATGATTTTGATTTAAGATACAATATATGTAAAAAATTCAACGAGATCGTGTTAAATTAAGCGTGTTATTAAATTAATATAAATACACGGGGCATAAATTTGCCGGTAATATTCGCAAGCAGATAGATAAAGGGAAATCAAACGAAAATGACTGACGACCAAACCGAAGAAGATACCATGACGGATTACGTCGATGACACAACCACCGATGCGCAGGATACCGATCTAACGGAGTATACGGATGAGAAAGAGAAGACATACGGCGAGGTGACCGAAATTGAGATAACCGAAGGCGAGGCAACCGAGGACGAAGAGAAGGATGTAACAGCTAGAATTCGCACGAAGTATTTGACACGAAAACCGAAGGATCTCGGTAGATGGATGAAAAGATGCATGGGACAGAAATGGAAATGCGATGTGCCCCTTTGGCAACTTTACATAAACGCGTAAGAAAAGCTGGAACGATTATCGCCTTTTGATCTCGTCCATGATTGGTTTCACAATTTGTACAGATTCGTGGAGGACGAGGATCAACGGAAGAGAGACGATATTTTCAAACACAGGAGGCCCGCAACTCTTCAAAAATTTCCCCAAGTTGTTTCGGAGGAAGATTTGACCGTGCATCATAAATATTTACCACTTAACATATTTCGATTTCGAGACGAATTGGAATTACCTGATAAGTTAGATCGGACGAAGATGATACGAATATGGCGCAACATGAGCGCAAATTTACCCGTTAGTAGATTGAAATATTAGATTACCAATCACAGTTGATAATCTTAATTCTGCTCACTTTTTATTTCATTTTAATAAGTAATTGTTTTAATGATATTTTTATTACAATATATATATATATTTTTTTTTGATCCTTACATGGCATTTAACGAGTTAAATTTGCTATGCATTTCTTGTGCGCGCGCAACAATGCTTAACAAATTTAAATTTGCATGCATTTATTTATTTTAGTTGATTATTTAACGAGTAATTATTATTATTGAATAAAGGCAAATAACATTTGCATTTGTTTAAATATTTTGAAAAATATCGCATTCTTCAGAGTTATTAGTTAAATTATTTATTATTGTTTTTTGAATTTGTTTAATTCATTTTTTTTATAATTTTTTTTAACAACTTGAAATTATTTTAATATTTCGCCATTTATTTTATAAAAATAAACGAATTTTTATATAAAATTTGTTAATTAATTTTTAAACATAATGTATATGTGCACAAAAATATTAAATCGGATTTACATGAGAAAATTTTTTAAATTAAATTAATAGCTAAGAGATTAATTAAAATAGCATTTAATTTAACTTGAATAATCTATTTTTCTATTCCAGCGAAAATTGAATTCTATATTATTTATAATAATAATTTTGATTTAATTTTTCATTTTTTTAAACAATCATTTTTTAAATAATAATAACCAACAATTGAGAAGCAAAAAAAAAAAATATGAAATATAAAACTTATTTACTAAAAAAACTTAATATTACTTATTAAAACTTACTAAAGAATTATCATCTTATCATTTATAAGCGATGCACAAAATTTAGTTAACAATCTAATACATAATTAAAGTTAAATTTAAAAAGTTTAAATTATTTATGGAAGTATATTGAATTTATTAAACAAAATATATTTACTAATGTAGAAATTTTTTTTTTAAAGATAACTTTAAACGATTTTTTGATTGGAAATTTAACAATCATTCCCTAGACAATAATTATTTTTTGTTTTAATTGTTTAGCGATCAATTATTGTATTCTTCAATATGTACTTTCTATTTTTATCTTTGAAAATAAATTTTTCAATTAAATTATTATCTTTTTCTAACTATGAATTCTTAATTTTTAAGTGAAGTCTGTTGAAAGTTAAAATCGAATATAGTATTTATATTTTTTTATAGTTACTCTATATCTATTTTATATATTCATTGCAATTTTTTTTAATGATATTTAATATTATAGCATACGTTATATAACATATTTAAGATAAAAAATTTGCCATCCAACTTTAATCTGAAAAAGATTTAATAAAAATATTAAAATTCTAATGTATAATTGAACAAAATAAATAAGAGAACATAATTTCATTAAGTAACATTCTCAAACAGAATATTCAAAAACAATATATTTTTTTATATAATTATTTTTATAAATAAAAACATCTTAAATTTTTATTCAAGTTATGTAATTACATATATATATAAACAATAACAAGTTAACTACTCTTGTAAAGTCGAATAAAGCATTACTACATCAGATATTTTAATAATTTTTTTATCAACTAGAAATTTACAATTATTATTAATTGTATAAATTTACAATTATTATAATAAATATATCCCAATATCTCATCAAAAAATTAATACAGTACTTCGATTTAACAATAGTTAACAGTGTTAAAATTATTTAATACATTTATATTCAAATACAAGGCAATACTTAATACGAATTACATCTTCAGGTAGAATCGAAATCCGACACAGCGATAGAAAAACCAATATCAGTAAAAACCGAAGACGATAAATGGCCAGGCAGATGGCCGTGCACGACAAGAGACATGACCAGAGAATTGTTGGAAAAACGAAAACAGAGACGGATGAAACGAAAAGATTTGTTCCCCTGTGATCTAGACGACACTTTCGATATATTGGAAGATCAAGCCAATGATTATTCCGATCGTAAAGAATTAGGCCATGCCCGGATTCCACAAATATGTACTCTACCGCATAAAGAGTCGCTAGTCGATCGGTGTACCGGTGAAAAATTTGGTTTAGTCGATGGTGATTACATCATTTTCGAATTACCCTCTAAAGCGCGTGGAACAAGGATCTACGCTGACGTATGCCTTCGTGGAATGAAGGGTATGCATTTGCCAGAACTGAGCATGATGCGGGCGCGTAAAAATACGTGGAAATTCTGCTTTTATCAAGGAATCATTGCACTTCTGGCTAAGACACAGTTGAGGTACTTATTGAATATATATTTCATAAAATATCAGTTTTTCTTTAAGTTTTCTTTTTTAATTCGTATATTAAATGAATCGAAGATTAATATTTTAATAAAAATATATATTCCATTTCAATTAATCTATTCAAATATTTATCAAGCTTTCAATATAAAAAATTTTTAAATAAAATGTTTGAGTGGTTTCAAGAGGCAAACAAAATCTGATACGATCAATTTTATAAACTTTAAGTATTTTCTAAAAATTTTTCAATGCAAATAACTTAGTAGTTTTTCGTAGGAAATAACGAGCTATTATTCATTAGTGCAATAAAAATCATATGATCCCATTTAAAAACAAAAATTGTTTTTTATATTCATTTAAAAAAAAATTAATCATGTTAGATTATGTCTTTTCAAAGCATTCAACTTTTATTTAAAATATTTTCTTGTATAATTAAATCTTTATACATATATTTTTAGTTATATTTAATTATTTATTTTTATTTTATCAATAATATTCAAATAGATTGATTTAAATAAAACACTCAGTATATGATATATTTTATCTGACATAAAAATGAAAATTTGTAATTTGTAATAGTAAACAAAAATTCTATAATATTCTTCTATAATAATCTTCATACTGTTAACGTCTTCTATAATAATATTTAAACTGTTAACATCTGAATTTGATAAATATTGCATATTTAAAAAATTTTTATTTTTATTGATTTCAGAAATTTTTCTTCGATAATTTACAATAATATAATTTTTTTTCAAAAAATAATATTTTTTATTATATAAAAATAATTTTGAACTAGATTTGGAATTAAAAAAAATTATTATTTTATAAGTTTATTTTTAAATTGTTGATTTATCTATCATGAATATTACTATTATTATTATATACTATATATTATTATTATTATTATTTATTTAATCACGAAATATTATTTTACATATTTATTTTAAGATATTGAAAAGTTTATAATATGAAATATATAAATTAGAACAAATATGTATTATAATTAATAAATTAATAAAAAAAAATCTGTTAAAAAAAAAACTAATCTTACAAAAACTATCCTTTGCACTTCATACTATTAGAAAATAATCATATAATTTTGATTTTTTTGTTTTATTTTAATGGATATTTTATTAATTTTTGGTAGTTTATCTGCTTTAGTAAAATAGTTTTTCAATTAAAAAATTGAATTCAAATTTTCTTTCTTATTTCTTTTGAATAAATTAAGAATTAAATAAAATTAGGAGTTTTCATGTAAATATTTTATTTATTTTTGTTAATTGATTTTTAATATATTTACACATTATTTAATGTAATTAAAAATTTTTTAAAAATGGAAGAAATATGTTTTATTTAATATGAAAATATTTATATTTTAACTTTAGTAATTTATTATAAATAAAAGTATAATACTATATAATATAATACTATAGTATAATACTATAATAGTTTACAGAAGATTAATAATATTGTTAATACATATATTATAAATTATACATTATTATTATTATTATTATTATTATTATTATTATTATTATTATTATTATTATTATTATT